GGGCGGGGATAGCACACAGCTGGATGCCAAGCGGGGGGAGGGGGGTGCGGCCAGACGCTTAGCAGGGAGGTGGGGATGGAGTGCTGCTGCCTCACAGAAGCTCACTGGGCTGGGGTGAGGGCAGCAGCACCCTTCTGCAGGGCAGGGAAGCTCACTGTGTTGGTGCATGACTTCAGCTATGTGCAAGCTTTCCCGATCCACAGAGGAGCACCGCTGCCCTCACCCTGCCCCAGCCCTGCTCCTGGGAGGCAGCAGCGCTTCATCCCCGTCCACCCATGCGTGCCCCTTGGACCAGTCCGCATACCCGTGGTTGACAACCCCTGGTCTAAACCATTTGTGTTAATTAGAAACCAAAAAGCACTACCACAGTAGTGGCAGGAAATTGTAAATCCCATTCTAAAATGTTTCCTTATGGAGTAGAATATTTCACTTTAACCCAAGCAACATCCTTGTTGCTTGTTGGCTGCCACAGTCCTCTCAACGTGCTTTGAATGCACTGCTTAATATGCACCAAACCAGACCAAGTGAAAAGATAAACCTTTCACAAAATGTCAAAAGGGAGAAACTATACACACAAGTAACAAGTCAACAATTTAGTGAGCAAGCACTAAGAGTGTTTAAATTCAAGTTATATTGGAAGGAGAATAATCCTCAATATTCGATGTATACTTTTGTTCATCATCTGATCAACCATATCATGCAATATTCATATGGTTTCCTTCTATTTCTTATAGGAAACTTCAAAAGATGGTCCATGATATCAAGAAAAATGAAACAGGAATAATGAGCAAGTTCAAAAAGTAAGTTATAATATTTTTGTCAATATAGCAATAAGAATTTCTAGAACATCTCCAATAATGTGTGGCCACTCAAAAAAATAATAATACATTACAGTTGATAGATGCATATACTAACATCTGAGAAGGTAATATTCCAGAACCTATCCGCATTCAAGAGTGTCATTAGTATTAACAGGTATCCCACAGCCAGTGACTGCAGAATTGTACCCCAAAAGTATTGTATATTTAGTGATGGATCAATTCAAAAATATCCATGTAAAAGGTGTGGGGAGTGGGAGATAATTCAATGTATTCTTTGAGAAAGTAATTTCAGTGGCATTTATGTATCCCCTTCCCCTTACACCTAAATATGGGTATCTACTGTGATTTAATTTGGATTTCTAATCTGAACTCCAGCTTCAGGCAGCTAATCAGCAGGGATCTTGGTTTTCTCTGATAAAGAAAAATCCAAAATTTTCTGATTAAAAAAAAAATCAGATAAAATATAAAAAAATATTTTTAAAAGGATATATAGTGGTGTTTTGTTTTAATCATGGAAAAATGTGGATTTTGGAGAGGGCAGAGGTTTGGATATTTTTAATCAGAGAAAACCAGGATCTCCACTAAACAGCCATAATATTTAGAACTCAAACTTCAATGTTTAGTTCTCACAAGTTTCCATTCCATTACAACAGATTTTTTTAAAACTCAGAAAACTAAAACCAGATTCCTAGCCCAATGTACTTATTGCAGTAACATACTATCCTGACCCATGGGAGTGATCATCCTTGACCATGAGGGATCACCACTGCTGCCAATTTACCGGAGTACAAAACTGAAGAGCTGCATAAATGCTGATGTCACACACACACACACACACACACACACGTAAACCCCAGTATTACTACATCCTTGTTTCATAAAAATACTCTCCTGTAATATATACCAGAGCTGCACCCCCTCCCCCCACAGGGGCAGGGTGCAGCAGCAGGAGGAAAGCCAGAGCTGGGGCATTTGTTTTGGGTGTCCAAGCATGTGCCAGGATACTACTTTTATTTTTACCAGCCACAAAACTTAGAAGGAAAGAAAATGTCACAAGTACCTACAGAGGATGTCAGGGGTGCAGGACAGGAAACAAAAAGATGCACATGCGATGAAAAAATACTTGAAATCTGTTAACAACAGACTGCTGTAGTAGCAAGACAGTCACAGAGGAGACATCAGATGAAAAATGCATAGATGATCCACAATTCAACTTCCAAGTATCATTGCAAGAGAAACAAAGAGACCCAAAATGAAATGGAAATTCTTCATCAGGCACAGAATAATGATAATGCCACTAGTCATAGTATGAAATTATTCCCATTATAGTCATTGGCAATGACATTTCTGATCCTGCTTTATAGCCCAATCTAACCCGCAAAATATTAGATCTGCTACTGACCAATGATCCACTAAGAGTAAAAAAAAAGGCATGCATTTTCCTGTGGATGGGCAGAATTCCCATTTTTTCTATGATTTTTTTTATATGAAAACCTTGAAAACAACAGTTCTGAAGGGTAGCTGGCTGCTGTACTCAGAGTCCACTGACAATGTTTTCTGTTTATGTTGCAAGGTCTTTGACTTGAATCCAAAATTATCCCTAGCATTTGAATGATTGAAAGCACGTGTCTCAGATTATCATGCAACATGAAAAGTAGCCTAAGTCATTTCAATTCTTTCAATTTCCTGAAGCAAAGCAAAGCAAAGGATAAAACAGGATAATTGGATAATCTTGGTGTTGATCTAATGTTTAAACTAGCCCCAAGCGTTCATCATAAAGTGTCAATGCAGCTATGAATGTGAATTTGAAACAGTTAACAATCCAGGAGTCATGTTCAAACTTGAATTTTTCAACCAGTTTATAGACATAGTGAGCCTGTCTGTGGAAGAACAGTTTGAGCA